CCGCGTTACGCAAAAACTTCACATATGCGATGGTGTGCCCGGGTGTTCAAGGGGGTGGATTCTGGATCCAGTGGGCTCTTTCCATTCCTGAGGTGCACAATTGGTGCACAGTTGGGTTGGTTATTCCGTGTGTTGTCGTTTGGGGTTCAATCGATGATTGTTTGTTCTAAGTGATGATCTTTGATACCCTGGTAATGGCGCGGGCACGTGCCTTGCATTGCATTTGATCGTTGAGGCGGTTTCGGTCCTCGACGCCATTCTCTTTCCACTTTTTTGACGTCATCTTAGTAGTAGGTGCATTTGTACCCTCATGAGCGATGCTTTAATGAGTCCACTGTTAAATTCAACTAGCATTTGTGTGGATTCATCTGCTTGGAAGGGTAGACCACTGACTTACCTTTTTTTCTCTATGACACGTTTTTGAAACGATTTTTTCCAAGTTCTTCTCTTGCTATTTGAACTACATTTCCTTCCCCGTACTTAGACCAGCGCGCTGAACGTACAGCTCTCTTTGCATCACCGTTTGATGTAGCGTGTCAAAGAAATGAATCAATAACCTGTCCTTTACCGAAAGATGTTCGGCGCCCAGCTCAGCATTAGCAATCCACTTATTCGGTTCCAGGAGGGCAATTCTGGTGTGGTACTGATTTGCGTTTGTCCTCGGCATGACTTTGCGTTTGTCCTCGGCTTTTCCAAGGTTCCGAAGCCTTGCTGGTGTTCAGGCAAGTGGTCCTAAGGTCAAGTACGGCTCCGACCCAAGCCAACCAAGCATTCTTACCCATCATCTGGGAGATAAAGTATAAAGTTAAGGATAAAGTATAAGGTGTCCGCCATTAATCAACCCTTTTTTTGGTGTAAGACCCGCATCCTACTGTCATTCAGAATCGTAGTAGCTTATTGAATGCGATGTGGCCTATGCAATGACTTGCGGGGCCAGCCGATGTACAAGTCAGTGCTCTTATCCTCCTCAGAAAATCTGGTACCAATTTGCCGTCCGCGGAGGGCTGATGGCTTGGTTGGCCTGGGCGGGAGCCGGTGTGTGATTTGATCCCCGGGCCGGGCGCTGCTAAACGTGCCACTTGACACCACCTCCACTTCCAGCCGCTATCTATAATATGGGCGAGGAATTTGATCCCAGACTATGAGGAACTGACGTCATAGCTTCCATGCCCAATGTTTCGTGAGGCTAACATAAAAGCTTTCGAGGTGAGAGGGTTATAGGGTGGCCCCGGTGCTATATTGGCCAGCACTAGCCCGCTATGCTCGAGGAGTAGGTTCGAGGCATGCTTGGGGTCAAGTTTGCCCATAGTTCAGCATTCTTGGGATCCTCTCGTGTTTAGCCTTACTTTTCTGGGTCTTCAGTCTCTTCAATTATCTTTTTCGATTATTCGAACATGATTTCGCATGAATAAGATGTATCTTCACAGAAAACCTACACATAAACATGGCTATGCTGGGATATGGTGCACTTGCTGCTCTTGGAGGTGCGATTTTCTATGCGAATCTTCCGACGAAACTGACCATCGGCGCTGTTGTTCCGACAGCAGCTTACCTTGCTAAAGCGAAATTGATTCCAATCTTCGACGAGGCCCATGTCGATGAAAAAATAGCAGTACAGGTAACTCTTTCAGTGGAAAAGAATACCAGGAAGACCGCAATCTTTTTTTTACTCTTTTAGGCTTCTTCTTTATTCGACAAGGGACCAACTATGGTGATGGCGGTGCGTCGACCCGGCTGTATGTTCTGTCGCAAGGAGGCGGCTGCCCTTAGTACACTCGAGCCGGATATGAAATCAGCCGGCATTAACCTGGTAACTTCTTGAGGGTTTTCTTATTGCTTCCACTGTCGATATGAGTTTCCTCTTCAGGTCGCTGTTGTCCACGAAACAAAGTCGGCAACGAATTCAAGCCGTATTTCAATGGGTCGGGGACGTACTACTTTGACAAGAGGTCTGCACTATTCGCTGCTTTTCATCCACGATTTCTAAGCGCTGGTTTCTGGATACGTGGCTTTATTGCAGCGCCACTTCTACGGACCTAATCAACGCTGGCTACCACTATGGATGGGTTTTCTTCGAATTGGAACATACCTAAATTGCGCCCTTAATTATCAGCTAGAAGCTGGATTTATTGGGTAATACAGACGGGAAGCCGACTACTCGGAGGTGTGTGTCCCTCACAACATGTTGAAGCCTTTCTCGTTTTTTTTTTGTTCCCTGTTTGGCCCTGAGTATTGTCCCTTATTTCAGTTGGTTTACTCAATGTACTGCCCTAAGTCCCATGAATACATTAGGTCCTGGTGCGAGTGCCGCGCATGTGATGCCATGTTCGTCTGTTGCTGTGGAGCTCATACTGTTTAGGAAAAATTTCTCAAACCCTTCCCCATCAAGCACTTAACCAATCTCTAAGCTGCTTTTCCTCTGCATCCCTGCCTAGTCCTGGGGGACGGAGTTCTGCCAGCAGGGCGAGTCGTTCCCCGCAGAATGCTCATGAGGCCGTTTGGTCGCTGGGGAGGAAGTGGGAGGAAGTCGTACTTGGCGCGAGGCTACTTTGATAGTGATTGTTCCCCTTCGCGCTATCCGCCACGCTGGAAGACTCCCGCTAGGTGTGGGAAAGAATTTTCCGCACGCGGAAAACCCTCCTGTAGTTGGCGGCGCGGTCAAAATTTTATTTAGCTACTATTTTTGATAGTCGAAACTAGTATTTGTTGGTGACGACCCCCACTTCTCTCCTGCCCTCCTCCTTGCCGATGACAGTGCCCTCTTTACCAGACAGTACTTTTTCAGCATAAGCATAAGCTTCGCACTTGTTTATTAATTGATTTAAAAGAACTGTTTTTTAGGAGTTTATCTAGTTGTAAATAACGAGCTAGTTTATTCGCATCTGGAAAAGGGAATGGGGAGATGCGGTCAACATCGACGAAGTTCGAGAAGCCATCCACAAGCTCAAGTAAAGCCCCAATGTGACAGCTTCCCCGTTGATCGTTCACTTGAGACCATGAGAGTTCATTGATGTCTTCTGTAAAAAGGAAAGTGTGTATTTATGAGTTGTACACGTGTTGTCCAATTTTGGATATGCTTTCTCCAACGGCTTTTCTATGTTGCGTTTCGACCATGTAAATAAAACAACCCTTAGAATAATTACATGCATGTATATATCACAGGAGAGAATAAAGATAATGAACTTCATTCCCACGACAGACAACGACACATTCATGGGACTCTTGAGTATAACCAATCAAACCAGTATTCCTAAAAGAGTACTGCGAAGAAACATCATTCCTTGAATTCCTCAACGGTTAGGGTATGAGCTGAAGAGGAGGAAGGGTAGTAGGAGTGAGGGTAATCGGTTTGATGGGAGTGATCGGTGCGAAGGAGGTAATCTCAGTGTTTTTCGTCAAAGAGGGTGCGAAGTTACACCTC